CTTACAGGATGTGGCACAGGAGGTCTCGCTAGAGGCCAGTGTCAAACCATGAGTGCTTTCAAAGCTTGTACATGGCGTCGATCCCAGTGCCCTAGCCTTAAGGCGCTGTAGAGAGAGGTGCTTGCATATGGTCTCTCGCATCGGATACTACGAGTAATGCATATGTCGGGCAGGTTTTGATCGCTGGATCGCTTATTTTCTTTCTCTTTGTACTAGCCATGTGGATACAAGCGTGGTTAGGTGTACATGTGTGTTGGTCGTTTAGAGCATCGCCGTCGGCAACTGGTAGGCGGCGAGGCTCTGTGCACGCACTTGCTTGTCGGCGGCTGCGATCGCCGACCGCTCCGAGTCGCACAAGAAGCCGCAGCCGACAAAGTCCAGGACTTCGTCAAGAACGCCATCGGGGAGGTCGTCGAGTCGCGTGCCAACAAGATGACGGCGCAACCACGCCTTGTGCTGGGGAAACACGTGTGCTGTCGAGAGCAGACTCGCGTCCGGGTGCACGAGGTAGTAGGTGACGAGCGTCACGTGTCCGGGCGCGCGCTCGTCGGCTGCAGAGAATGGCGCGATGCGGTACACCCCCGAGGTCGGGATCGAGACGAGGCGACCCGGCGTCATTCCCATGTAGCCCGTTCTCTGAAGCTGTGGGCTGGCCAGTGATGCAGCACCCTACACCCATCCACGCATGAGCGACCACACCACAATCGAGTCGAGCGATGACCTTGGTCGTCGACCGGGGCGGCGCAAGCTCGTGGGCAAACTCGATGGCCACGTCAGCTACGTTGTCGCTTTCGCAGCAGACAACGCCGACCGCAACCACAAACTCGTTCACCACACCCGAGCCCTTGGTCCACTTCTGGCCTGGAAAGGTCGGCGTCGCATGCAGCGTCGTGATCTGGACGTGCACGAGGAGGTCGGGGGGTAGCGGCATCGATGCAAATGGCGAAGACGGCAATTTGTCGACAAACTGCGGCCTCGCGGCGACCGCTTCAAAGTCGACGCCCGCAGCTGCTTGCTGGCGCTGCCACCGGCGCACCTTGGACGAGGTGGGCTTCTCGGTGGTGCGGGCGCGATACAGGCGGCGCACCAGCTCGCACGTGGGTAGATGGCGCGTGCGTTGCAGGCGGGGGACGTCGTGCAGCATCGTGTGCACGCTGACGGCAAAGAGCGGCAACAGCTGCGTCAGCGTCGCGGCCAGCGCATCGTAGAGTTGCGTGTGCCCCGGGTCAAGGTCGTTGATGTACGATGTAAACCTCGCCCTGTCCGTCGTTGCATCGACGTGCACCGGGGTCGGCAGCCACTGAAAGTGTTCCGAGACATGGCGCTGCCACTCGGATGGCACGACTGACGACCACGAGAGCAGGTTGCCGCCGTTCAAGCGCAGCCCGTGCGGCGACGCGCGCCATTGCGTGAGCCCAACCACGCCGCAGCCGACACTCGGACTCACAAGGTCCTGGACGTGGCCAGAGATGGCGCGCGACGTGGCGAGTGGCGCCAGAAGCGCCCGCCAACGACGTGCGTCCCATGACCCGAGGTGCGCATCCGAGACTGCGACGCCGTGGGCAGGGTGCAGAAAGAGTGCCGGCGACAGGCCGCCAAGCTCGGCCTGGAGAAGCGACTGCGCGTCGGTTGGCAATAATGCTTCTGGACACAAAAGCGTGCGGCGAGATGGCCACGTCGGGTCGCTGAGGATCGCACAGAGCGCATCAATGTACGCGGTTTCCATAGGCGCCAGCGGCGACGTCGCATGGCGAAACCAGCCGACGCGCGAGAAAAAGAAGCGCTGACGTGGCACGCTGAGCATCGCGAACGGCTGAAAGAAGAGCGCGTGCGTCAATGGCGGCGGTCCGTCGGAGAAGAGATGGACGTACAGATACCGCGTCACGACGACATGTTCGCTTGCGAGCGCCAGCTCGAAATACGACCGCTACGCGATTGGTGAGGCACACTTGATACATTGATATACGGTCGGTGGTACGCGGCAGGTAAATCGGTGGTCCTTGGCGCCTGTTGTCAGTGGCAGCAGCAGCTCGACGCTGCGCAGGTTGCCTTTTTGAATCGCATGGTACAGCGGCGTGCGGCCCATCTAGTCCTCGTGTATTGTGGACAACTTGCCTTCATCATCAACAAGTCAAGTACGGGATCGCGGGCGTTGGGGTCGGCGCCAGCGTTCAGCAAAAGCGCGAGCATGGCTGGGCGGCTCGCTGCGCGGCCCAAGTACGTCTAGAGAGAGGGTTGTCGAGACGGCGACTTGAATACATACGGTGCAAAAAAAAGTGTACCAGGCCGAGTCCATCGATCGACGTCAAGTCCGTGTACGCTGCCAGCACGTTGACAGCCCACACATTTTGCGCTGCAATCGCAAGCGACAGCGCCGTGCTGCCTTCCTACACGTATGCAGATCGTCATGACGTCGACTTCAAGCACCAAAATGGAGCCGACCCGATCACGCAGCTCGGGGTTGAAGCCGTGCTGCAGCAAGAGCAAGAGGCACGCCTGCCGCTCGTCGTCGCCATCGACTAGAAGTGTGGTGCGTTGGAGCCACGTATGGCTTCTCTATCCAACAACATGGCAGCATTTTAGCACGGCGCGTCTCGCAGCAACCGACCTTGTGGACGCGGTCGAGCGGTGTCACAGGAATCAAAACCGAGGCGACGGCCGGCTTGTCGAACAAAAAAGCACATGCAAGTACGCTCTCCTTGAGCTAGTACACGCACCGTGCGGCGTCATCTCACCTGTGTGGCGGTGCTACCTGAAGCGACCAATTTGGGTTGAGAAAGGCAGCGATGATCCGCGCGGCGTCCGAAGCGCGTCGCACGATCGCGCAGAGATGCTGCATGGTCCGTCTCGCCTCTGTGTGTGGCCTGGATGCATGAAGCGTACTACCTTGATAGGCACGGCGTTGACGTCGGCGCCGTGTTGTACGAGGGGCTCGACGAGCGCCGCGTGCTGATACTTGGCCGCGACCGCCAGTGCCGTTTCGCCCGCCTACACGCGCGAGGTTGATTGCATAGTACGTGCTTTGGAGGGCGACCTTGTTGCGAGCTTCGGTATCGGCGCCGAGCTGCAAGAGAAGGCGGGCGGTGCCAACGTGGCCTTTTCGCACCGCGACCAGCAGCGCCGTGCAGTGATCCTACAAGCACGATGACTGTGATGACCATCCGAGCGCACGTAGTACTCGCGTCGTTGTCTCTACGCTCGCGCCTTCCATTGCGAGGTACTCGACGACAGCCGATTGGCCTCGGGACGCGGCGAGGAGCAGCGCCGTGTTGTCATCCTACGCCATCAAACGATGCTGCACCACCATACAAAGCGGCATCCTACATCATTGAGCATGTCGAGAGCGGCCACGCTCGAGCGCAGCGACCTGAGGAGCTCCAGCTGGCCGCGTCGCGCGGCGGCATGGAACAGCGACTCGCGGCGCCATGAAGTCGCTTGCAAGCTCGTGCACGATGATCGGTGTGCGTGTACCGCTGCCTCGTCGGCGGCTACCACCTTGGCACATGGCAAGCGCTCTTGCTCGTCTTCCTACGCAGCCGATGGAAGGGCCATGAGCGTCCGGCGATCGGCGGCGACGATGCTACCGCTGCAGGATGGTGCATCGTGGAATCCAAACTTGAAGAGTGGCTTTTTGGACGGAAATAGTGTGAAGAGAGAGTCGCGTCGCGCCAGAGAGAGCTGCCAGAGAGCAGGTTGGGGTCGCTCAGAACGACAACAATGCGAATGCAAGGTAATTGCACGCCGGTGCTCTCTTGGCCGATGAAATGCTAGGACCTGCGTTCGCACCAACATAGATAGATGCAGTGAACGACGCGGCGGCCTGTGCAACCACCACATTGCACATTGCAGAAAGGACATGTCGCTGCTTGTGCCGATGACGATCGCACCAGACCTTCTCTCTCAAGCATTAGTGCACAAGAGTGACATGGCTGTCATACAACAATGCACGAAGACAACCAGCGTCTAGTAGCATCAACACGCCACTGGAAGAAGCGACGTGCGAGCAGTCGTCGCCGTTGCACTTCGATGCGAGAAGCCGCGTTTCGATGTACCAAAAGCTCAAGCTCCTCTTCCAGTGATGCAGCACAGGTACGAGTAGGCTGGTAAGAACGCCTCGTCGTAGGCTTGCTGTGCGGCGTCTCTGGGCGAAACCACTTGGCGTCGTTTGAGTGCAGCATCAATGGCCCGCCATGACGACCGGGATCGTCTTAGGTTCCGTGGGCGTGACGCCACCACTGGGCTCGATGGCACAAGAATGGTCATGATCTTAACCTGGCGAGAGGGCTCCATTCTGCTGCGATGCACGACAAAAACGATAGAAAAGAGGCAGTCTACTAGGGTCACTCGTTCGTCTTCTATCGCACATTGGCCGCCTTACGCCGTCTTGGGCGTCTTGACGACAAGCGGGATCTCTTCGGTGCGGCTGGCCTTGAACGCAGCGAACGCCTCCGGGTTGGTGTACTCGTGCAGGCACGCGTTCAGGTCGGCGTTGTGCTGGCGACACTTCCACACGACCAGGAGACTACATTCATGCGTGAGCGCAGCGACTGTATATCGTTGCAGCATACCCATGCTCGTGCGAGCAGTCGACAAAGGCCTTGGTCTTGGCGTAGCACTTTTCAAGCGCGATCGAGTTGAGTTCTTGGTGCAGTTTCTGCGTCAACATATAGGCTTAGAGAGAGGCATGTGACAGAAGTAGGCGTACGTGCTCGGCCTGCTTGGACCACTGCAGGCGCGACCCGCGCCACTCGGCCTTCTGCGTCTCGCGGTTGGGCGTGGCTTCCGCTGCGTTCGTCGTCGACATGATAAGAAATTTGGTCGTTCGTGGCCGCGCGGCCACCGGATACGCTATCCGAACGAACCGGTTGCATTGACGTGGCACGCCTGCGTGCCAGGACGAGCCTTTTGTCTTGGTATTGGTTGCCGCCTATTAGGACGAGGCATGAGCGGCGCCGTTCAAGAGCAACCGGTGACCCGTGTCGCTGTACACACGGCCTTGCAAGTGCGTCAAGAGGGCGATGTATGGAGTGATTCCTGGGTGTACTCGAGACTGGCAACCTCTCCACGTTGCCTTCTCTCACCTATGCGCATGTGAGCTCTCTTGCGGCGACACCTCACATGCACAGCGATGTCACCAAGTGGCGACGACCGACCTCATCACCACAGATCTCGACGGTCTGTCGCCTCGTACGCCTTTTCCGTTCTGGGCAGGCTGAAGCTTCACGACACCCATGCACGACACCATCAAGGCGGCATATTCTCAACCGCGCCGTCGTCATCGACGCCGCTTTGTATTGCTGTAGAAGACACCCCACCTCGATCGCCAAGCATGCCATGGCCGCGACAGCCGTCCTCCACGACGGACTTCCACGAGCTTGCATCAACGCCATGTAGTACACTATATCCGGTCAATACAAATAGTGTGCAACACGTACCCCGGGGCACGACGCAAAGGCCATCGACCAGTCATTTCACTGGCGCAAACTGCAATCGCGCAGGCTAAATGCACTCACTTTCCATTTTTCTAGTAGTGCATTATGGCTGAACAATTGACGCTCCGCGGTACGCTCGCCGGTCACGGCAAGGCCTGGGTGACGGCCATCGCCACGTCGCGCGAGAACCCCTCGATGATCGTGACGGCGTCGCGCGACAAGTCGATCCTCGTCTGGCAGCTCACGGGCGACTCGTCGGACCTCGAGAACTACGGCTTCGCCCGCCGCCGCCTCCAGGGCCACTCGCACTTCGTCGAGGACGTGGTCATCTCGTCGGACGGCCAGTTCGCGCTCTCGGGCTCGTGGGACGGCACGCTCCGCCTCTGGGACTTGAACACGGGCATCACGACGCGCCGCTTCGTCGGCCACTCGAAGGATGTGCTCTCGGTGGCTTTCTCGGCGGACAACCGCCAGATTGTCTCGGGCTCGCGCGATCGCTCGATCAAGCTCTGGAACACGCTCGGTGAGTGCAAGTACACGATCACGGAGGAAGGCCACACCGAGTGGGTCTCGTGCGTCCGCTTCTCGCCCTCGTCGGCCAACCCGCTCATCGTCTCGTGCGGCTGGGACCGCCTCGTTAAGGTCTGGAACTTGACCAACTGCAAGCTCCGCACCAACCTCTGCGGCCACACCGGCTACCTCAACACGGTCACGGTCTCGCCCGATGGGTCGCTCTGCGCCTCGGGTGGCAAGGACGGCGTCGCCATGCTCTGGGACTTGAACGAAGGCAAGCGCCTCTACACGCTCGAGGCCGGCGACATCATCCACGCCCTCGTCTTCTCGCCCAACCGCTACTGGCTCTGCGCCGCCACGTCGTCGGGCATCAAGATCTGGGACCTCGAGTCCAAGGTCGTCGTCGACGAGATCGTGCCCGAGTTCGAGGCCGTCGGCAAGAAGTCGCTCCCGCCGCACTGCGTCTCGCTCTGCTGGTCGGCCGACGGCGCCTCGCTCTTCGCTGGTTACACCGACGGTATCGTGCGCGTCTACGCTGTCGGCTCGAACTAAATGGTTCAACCCGACGTCGCCGTGGCTGCTTGGACCCGCGTGACGGGTCGTCGTAGCTAAGTAAACGCAACACCACCTAATGCAACTCACTACTAGCATTAACCAGTGTCTCTCATCGCATGCACGTCATCCATCGTCCATGCCATCATGTTTCGACAGATAGCGCAGAGCACGGAGGATGCTGGCGACAGGAGCTGTCGACTCATTTGTTCGGATGCCAGCTGCGCCGATTACGTCGCCTGGCTAGTTGGTACACGTGCTGGAGCGGTGCGTGTCACGACGACGCGTCAATGAGCTGGTCCGCACGTAGTAGCTCCGCAAGCCTCTCCATCTCACGCGAGGTACCGGTAGTTCCAACGCTGTTTCTCTGCTTGCAGCTACATGAGAGCCCGTGGTTCATCATGGCAGACGCTAATGACATGCCAGCTGACCAAGTCATAGAAGTGGTGACGGGCTGGGCGTTGGCAGTGGTCCACGGAAAGATTTTCTTGGGACCCTTCACATGGTCCAATGGTCTCGTTCCGTAGTTGTCATTGCACATCGTCTCGTCGCAGTCCCATCGCCTAGCACGCAACGCAGAAGCGACCGCTCATGCTGGCCTTGGTCTATACGGCCATGCGCCTCCACAGTGGCCTTTCGCTCCGTCGCATCTCGCATCGTCATGCGTCGTGACGTGGCCCTTTGCATTGGTTTCGTTTCAAGGCTAATGGCCGGCGCGCAACCTGTGGACGCCAGGTCGAAGAAAAGAGAACGACGGTAGACATGGCAGGCGAGGGAAAAGATCAGAGTCGTATATTACGCGCGACGCGCGATCGTACCGACAGCAACGAGAGATCGTCTTGGAGCGCAAGACGCCGCAAGCGTCGAGTGAATGGGGCGAACTCATTTACTTGATCTTCTTCTTGATGCGGAGCTGGTTCGAGTGCCCGCACTTCTTCTTGCGGCAGTTGGTGGCACGCGGCGGAAGGCGCGCGTAGCACACACGGCAGATCTGCTTTTCGCAGTTCGTCTTCTTGGCCAAAGCGGCAAGGGTGGGTTCAATAGCCATCTTGGAGTCTCTACTTAGCGCATGAGCATCGCACGTCGTCCATGCAGACGTCGATGTTACCTGTTGGATAGTAGATTTCCCTCTGACTGCCACCAGCCAACCGGCCTCTTCCTCTTGAAGCAACATCCAACCAATTTGCACAACATACAAAGCACCAATCAGTGATTTCCCTCTGGCCACTGAACTTTCCGCTCAATCCCTCTTTGAAATGAACATTCACACGATTTCATACCGAATAGACGCATATACTGTATGTACGACGCCGAGACAACGACGTTGCACCGCAGTATTCTCTTGTAGAGCGCGAATCATGCTATCGAGCGGATGGTATAGCCTTGCACATGAACGCTGCGATGCGGCGGCTGTCGTCGCTTTGCGTAATTGATGCCGAGCCTGGATGCAAATGGTAGTCGGCGCAATCATCACTGAGACCTGCTTGACGCTTCGACATCGCACTGTAGGTGCGAAGCTTGGATGCTACAAGCTTGTGCCGACTGCTTGTAGCTTGAACTACAAGATCCACGCCTCACTCCTCGGCAGCGTTAATGCCGGCGCCTTGGAGAGTGCTAATACTAGTGTCGATGGTACGCCCGCCGCGCTTACAATACCCGCGATAGCAACGGTATCTATGGACTGTGCTTACTCGGGTGAGGGCACTGCTTGTAGTGACAGCGACGACCAAGTCGCTCAAAACGGCGTTCGAGGGGCTTCGTGGCGGCCCCGGCGTTTGGTCGAAAATAGTGTGCGGATCTCGGTGCGTCGCGACAACCGTATTTTATTTCACTATAAAAATACATGCAATACCCTAGTTATGTATCGCACTCGATGACGAAAGACGGAATAATAATATTCGACGCAGACCATCGAGCGAGCCCAGGCGAGTCGGAAAGCTGCGCCATGGCCGCCAAGAAGCCGTTCCTGTCGTTTGGCTACTTCATCAACCGGAGCCAAGTGCTGAAGCAGTACCGGCTCTACCTGCGCGAGATCGCGCCCTTGGCCCCGCCCGCGCGCAACGACCTGCGCAAGAGCATCCGTGCCAAGTTCGAAGAGGCCAAGGACCTCACGGACGAGCGCCTCGTCAAGCAAGCGATCGCGTACGGCAACTCGCAGATGCAGCACGTCCGCGAGCTCGTCAACTCGGTCGGCCCGACAAAGCCCCATGTCGACGCATCGGCCAAGGCCACGTGGGTCGACACCCCCAGCGCCGCGAGTTCCGAGGACGATGGTGCCATGGAAGACGTGCGTGGCCGCCTCGGCGCGGGCTGGCCGTGGCAGCGCAGCTAGCAACGATTGCACCGATCGTACATATGATAGTTCTTCTCGTTGTCGTATCTTCGCCTGCGATTTCAATGTGTTGCATGGGGCAAATGCGATGATGCTGGCACGGATAGCAGAGGTAGCAGACGGCCGTGCATGCGCTACATGGCAATAGGAGGCAAAGAGGCCAATGCATGTGTACAACGAGGAAGGAGCATGTTGTATGGCGCTAAAACATGTCGGCCGAAATGACGCCTAAATAGTTGTCCTTGATCGTGCCAATGGCGTTGATCTCCGTCACGTCGATGCTGACGCCCATGATCTTGAGGCGGACGCCGACGCCCTTGCGGATCTCGACCTCGCGGTCTTGCGATATCCACGCGCTGTTCTCGTGGTCGTAGCCTTCGGTCAAGTCGGTCGACATCGCGTGGCGACTCACAAAGACCTGGAGCGGCCCGACCTCGGCGAAGAAGCCGAGCGGGTTCACGACCGTCACGACCGCGTCCAGCACCTCGTTCTTGAACGGGCGGAAGAGGATCGCGCGGTACGCAATGTCGAAGCACACGAAACCCGAGTTGTCCTGGATGACGCCCTGGCCAATGTCTTCGTCGCGGACCTCCGTGACCGCGATGACGTAGCCGTACTTGCCGAGGGACGTGCCCTCGACCTCCTCGATGAGGCGCAGGCGGATGATGTCATGGAGCTTCGGGCCAAAGTGCATCGGGTGCAGGAGGAGCTCCCGGCGGAGCTGCTTGAGGAAGAACATGGGGCAAGCAGTCGGATGGAAGCCGCAGGTTTGCCACTGCCAGCCCACTACCGATTGGCCTATATCGCTGGCTTTTTCCGCCAATCCCATGGCGTCTTTATAAGTTTGGCATATGCCGCAAACCATTCGGAACCCCCGAAAAGTAGGACTGATCCATTTTCATCCCATCCACACCGGAGAACGACGAAGCACGCGACCCAGGGGTGATGCATAGCTAGTATTTACCCCTGAACCGACCATACAATAGGTTTTAAAGGGATGCATGGAATAAAGAGAGGTGTAATTGTACAGCTATTAAAATAAGTTCTCGTTGCATTTATGCCTGGTGTTGGAGTTCGATCCCGTGCGTATCTGTACAATCACTCTGATGCTAGGAAGCGCTGTTCACAGCGTCTGCGCCGCGTACAGAAGCAGCCAGAGCAATGGGACACGTGATCTACGACGGTCAGATTCTATTACCTCAATGACTGCAGAGACACGAGGTCCTCTTACAGGCTATTAGCACCCGAGACGGACAGTTTTTGATGTTGCGTCCGCCTCGTCCTGCTCATATCTAGAGGTCTGACTGCATGTAGTGTTCATTCCCATGGTGAAATGCGCAGAACTGCGGGTACATTTTTTGCGCGGGAACCGAACACTGCAATATGTATTTTAAAGGAGCCACAATGATGGTCATCGACGAGCACATTTGTCGGAATGTCGGTCGCCCACCTTCCTTGTCATTCGTTGCATGCACCGACGTCGCTGCTGCAAAGTACGCTAGGCCTACACACCTACCGCACTATCCTCGATGCACCCAAGTGCTTGGGCTCGGCGCTGTGGTGCTACATCGGCCATGGTGCGAAGGACGCGGCGCATACGTTGGTGGGCGTACATGTGCCTGCAGCCATGCCCATCGATGATTGGTCGAAATTCACGACGCCAGCCAATCTTGTGCCGGCAAATTAAAATCGGCAGATGCCAAATTTACCACAGACCCTCGTGGTCTGAATTTGTGTGCAAATTGCAAGTCCAAGCTGCATGGCCTCGTCGCCCGGGCTCCTTCGCTTCGATGCGACCGCGGTCTTCCGGCCAACATACCAGCGCAACAACAAGAAGGGCGGGCAGAAGAACCTGCGCTGCTTTCCGAACTGCTGCAACGGGCTGCACGCGGCCACGGGCTTCTGCGGCGGGCCTGTCGCCGTGCACCTCGACGCGTCCGACGCGACCAAGTCGTACCTCCTCCTCGCCGAGTTCGTGCCGGTCTTCAAGGGCGCGCCGCAGAGTACGCTCTCGATCGGCCACATGTATGTGCTCGAGACGCTCCGCGCGCAGGCCAACAAGGACGCAGACCCGCTTGTGCCCTACTTTGCCGGCCACTCCATGCAGACGTCATACTACTTTAACCCGGCGAAGAAGGGCTGGCACTATGGCTGGATGAGCAACAAGCACACGTCAGACCGGGAACACGTTCTCTGCGTGCATCTCCTGGAAGAAGTCAGCGAGACGTTTGGGCAATGCGTCGACTCGCTCGCGTCACCGCCGTTCACGGTCCACTGCCGACGCCGCTCCAAGACCGAGTCGCCCGTCGTGCCAATTGTTGTCGCCAAGAAGCGACCGCACTCGCCATCGTCGTCGGTGACCGCGCCGTCGTCGCCGTCGTCGGACGAAGGCGCTGGCCGCCCCAAGCGGCAAATGCTGGCGCCCGCCTCGACGCCCGCCTCGACGCCCGACTGGAAGGACGACGACGACGAGTCGCTTTGCATTGATGCGCTCTTTCAAAGCGAGGTGCTCGACCTCATCACCAACAGCACGTGCGACTTTGCACCGCCGCCGCCGTCGACCGAGGCGACGCTCTGGAATACACTCATGGACGACGACGCCGACGACGCCGAGCTCCTCGACTTGCTCCTTCCGACGCCGTCCGCGCCGCCGATGACAGAAGTGCCCCGGTACCAAACGTACTTTACGCCGCAGCGCAACGCAGCGCCGGTCGTCGGCCGGAAGCGACCGGTTCGCATTCCCGTCGACCTCAAGTATCCCAATGGACCATTGCCGATTGCGAGCTCGCCCGCCACATCAGCATCGCATGACGCAACGACAGTCGCGCCCATGCCACCGTGCCGCCGCCACGACCACCGACGCCGGAGCCACAGCAGCGACGACGCCGGCCCACCGGTCGCCAAGTCGTGCGGGCTTCTCTGGAGCATTGTCCAGCTCGCGTTCTGCCTCACGATGTTTGTGCATTTCGTCGGACACATTTTTTTCCCAACATACAACGCCTACGCGCCGGCCACGAATAATGTCCGTGGTGGCACGGAGGACCCGACGAACCGGCTCACGCCCTTCCTCGTCGACTGCCCGCCGCCGTCCATGACGTGCGTCCGCGATGGCTTTGGGCTCCAAGAACTCGCGTCCTGCGTGCACCACATCGCCGACCGGTGCGCGACTGAAGCGACGGCCGAGATCACGATCTACAGCATTGACGGCAACACCACGCAGCTCGCGTGCGATGGCATGACGGCCTGTGCGTCCCAATTGCAAGCGTTTCTGCCGTCCATGGGTGCAGCGGAGCTCGAGCACCACAAGGAACACTACCGACGCGAGCACGAGCAGCAAATCTACACGGGCATGCAGTACAAGTTTATCCTCTTCATGGCCATGTGCACGCTCATTTCGTTTTTCGCGCTGCAGCGGTCGTTCCAGAAATGCCTCAAAAAGTGCCAATGGTTTCGCCACCGCCGCCTCCACCCCGATGACCACATAGCCTAGTTTGTGCATCGGTTCGTTTAGTTAATAGTCGTCGTTCTTGATAGTCTATCTTTTGCTATTTTTGCTGATCTTGGTGGTGGACGCAGTGACGTGGCCGCATGCAGCGACAGCATTTTTTTGTGTCGTTTTTACATCGACGCCGACGACGAGGCGTCGCATCTCCAGCAGTCGTGACCGCTGCACATGATCTTTTTCCAATGTGGTGGCTCCATCAAGTGACGTGCTCGTTCCAAATCGACCAAATCACGTCACCAGGGCAACACCATCACATCCAATCCATGCAAGTGAGCTAAAAAATGGAGTGAACTCATACTTCACCATCGTGCGATAGAGGCACTCTACCTCGTGAGAAAGGAGATCTGTGGTCTCGTTATACTCTGTCTTGGCCCACTTGGTGCCAGCCGTCCACGGCCCCGCAGCTCGCTTGGTGGTCGATGGCTTTTCGTCGAGGTACGCAAGGCACACCGTATCGCATCGCATGGAGTCCGCCAGCCGCGGGCCTCTTCCGTGCCCGTACAGTAGACACAGCCGAACGCGACCGCCGCCGTGAGCATCGGACGAGCCACTGCGCCTCGCGACTTGATGCATACTTTTTCGGGAACTTGGCATCCAAGAAACGAATCGTCGGGTAGAGCACGCCTCGGGTGTGGTGCTAGACTAGAGTCGCATGTCGCCGTCATCATCGTCACCGACAACCTTGTCCACAAGGTCGGCAACGAAGCGCGATACGAGCGGTGGCAAGAGGCGGCGGTCCAGAGCCAGCAGCACCGCGTGCATGGCGTTTGTCGGTGGCGTGTAGTTCGTCGTCCGCCGGTCGTCGTTAGCATCACCGCCGCACGACGAGCCAATGAGCTCTTGTCGACGAGGCACGTGGTGTAGCCCGTGAGGAGATTCGTAATCGCACTCGCATCAACATCCGTGCATTCCAGTCATTTGTGCACACCAGTGCAAGGGTTCATAAATTCAGTATTGCGTCCATGTACTACACCCTAGATCGAGGATACTGGTTCGTCGGGTGCGCACGAGACCACCACGGACGCCACGCCAGTGACGCGCGGTCATGTAAAACTCGGGGAGCTTGTCAGTGACGGACCCTGCATCAAAGGCGACATCAAAGGTGAGGGAGGTCGCACGACTCCATCGAAGCAAGCACGGCTGGCAAGAACGGTGCTATACGTTGTCTACGTTCCGGACGAATGGGAGCAGCACCAACGCGGGTCCATGGCGGTGCGAACACGCTGCACGATCGAGACCATCGTGACGGGCGCAGCGACAAACTGGCGGGTGCTGGGAAGTGGCGTCGAGGGCAACCGCGTGCCCAACCGCGATGGTGTCGGCTACGATGCGTACTTGGAGCTGCAGGAAACACCCCAGCACTTGTGCAGAATCGGTTGTCGCGTTGTCGTATCACTCGTCTCGGAAGTGCGCCGCCTTGGCAACCGAGTCTCAAAGCAAGAGAACGAGTTCGGGGTAGGGCGGCTGCAAGCACCACTAGTACAACGGTCCTTTGGCTACCGATGCGCATGTCCACGGTGCATGTAGTTTGCCCTGCTCACGGGCAAGGAAGGACTCGTTGCGTGGCAACGTATTTGTTTCTTATCAGTCATTTCTTCTGGGTCCACTCGGTGAATTGGTCTTGGTCTTCGTCATGTCGTCGAGTGCCGTCTGCGCTGCCGACTGGACTTGGGTCATCGAGTCGCGCACGACGACCCACTGCATCCGTTCAAGCTCCTTTCGCCGACGCAAGAAGCTGTGGTAGGCGCTGTCGCAGGCGGGCGGCGCGCAGAGGACCAAGACGCCAATTTCGACATACGCTGGGAGGTCAACGACCAAGTGAAGCACATACCACGTCGCGCAGAGTAGAGTAAAGTAGCTGGAGCTTGACCAGCTGCGAGCCAAGTGGTGGGCCATCGACGCTTGGAGCGGTGCGAGCGCGTTGGTGCATTGGGCTTGGACGTCGTCGGTCCACGAGACGCGCGAGATGACATCCATGCCGGTGCAGAGCGTGTAGAGAGAGGCGAGAAGGTACGGCGCTGGAAACGTGAGAAACATCATCGCACCCAAGGCATAGAGGGCCGTCTCGGTTGCAAGCATCTTTGAAGAATGACGATGGAGGATGTCGAGATGTGTTGCTGGTTGCGTCGCTGGTTGTGTCGACGTCACCGTTCTTTCGTCATGTCGCTGTACCGAGTTTGTCGTTATCCCATCCCCTTGGTATAGTTTCTATTGGCACGATGGAGTCTAACGCAAGACCTAGATGAAGTCAGCACAGATCCACCTTTGGCTTCCGGGACCCAACAGAGTAGACGGTCACTCGTCCTGCCGTCATGATTCCAGCAACAAGATTGACACCGCGGGATCGAACCCAGCGCTACCTAACCGTATTCACATTGCTAGACCAAATGTGAATAGACGTCCTATCTATCTATCTATCTATCTATCTATCTTTCTCGCGATGATCCACCCGTATGAATATCTTGCATGCCTTGTAGAGGGATTCCGTGGACAAATGTTCCCTGCTTGGTCATACACTATTTCACGCTTCACACACAATTAAAGAGGCCATGAAATAGAATATTGTCCAATCACAGGCAAGACAAGCACCAATCGTCCAAGTCGCAGGATGAAGCAAGCCAAGAAGGTGCTCGCCGGTGTGCGCGGGACGCGGGACCTCTGGCCGACAGAGCTGCAGAAGCAGCTGCATGTGACGAGCGCGCTGGCGTCGACGGCCAAGCGCTACGGTTTTTCGCCGGTCCAGACGCCGACGATCGAGCCCACGGACCTCTTCCATCGGTCGCTCGGCGACGGCTCGGACATTGTCATGAAGGTGCGCGGATCGCCAACTTATCGCAAGCAGCGAATCGCTGTCTCTAGGAAATGTACACGTTTCAAGATAACTCGCAGAACAGCTTGACGCTTCGGCCTGAAGGCACCGCCGGTAGAAAGGACTCGTCGCGCGCCATCGAGGCTCACGTTCGCGATCCTAGGCGTCATTCGCTCGATGATCAGCAGTGGCCTCCAGTACAATGGACCGCACAAGGTCTACTACCACGGCAGCATGTTTCGGTACGCGCGAACGCGAGGTTCGTACATGACGATGGATGCAGGTACGAGCGGCCGCAGCGCGGCCGGTACCGCGAGTTCCAGCAGTTTGGGGTCGAGCACATTGGCTCGGCGGGTCCGACAACCGACGTCGAAGTGATTGCGCTCGCGCGCGACAGCCTCGCGCGCTTGGGCCTCGCCGACCGCGTTTCGCTCGAGATCAACACGCTCGGCTGCCACGACAGGTATCGCGCTCGATTTGGCGCCACGCAGTCACTTTGATCTTATATGCCTAGTCGTCAGCGCTACCGAAAGGTGCTGGAAGCCTTCTTGGTGCAGTATCAGAGCGAGCTCTCAGTCGACAGCCAGCAACGGTACCGGCAACGATCCTCTCCAACAAACTCGTCAATGCCATGTTTGTAGCCTCGAGCGCGGTAGTGTCCTTCGTATTCTCGACTCCAAGTGCGAAAACGACCAGCGCATTCTGGCGTCCGCGCCGCGTCTGCACCAGCACCTCTCGGACGACGCGCGCAAGGTGCTTGTCAAGGCCACAGACATATCGTCATGTTACCCACTCGTCATTCTAGCGTTTCGACGCCGTCCAGAGCCACTTGGCTGCCCTCAACATCAACTCGCACCTCAACGACGGTCTCGTGCGTGGGCTCGTACGTCGTGGGTTCAATTCCCACTCTGCTCCATCCTTTTCGTGATGTTTCAAAACACTCGACTAGGACTACTACAGCCACACTGTATTTGAGTTTGTGGAGCTCAAGCCCGAGACAGGCGCCAAGGGCATTGCGGTGCTGGCTGGCGGCTGCTACGACGACTTGGTGGCCACTCTCGGTGGACCGCCCACGGCCTGCGTCGGTACGTCCCGTCGTCACCGATAAGAGCTCACATTCACGTACACTTTTTTGGCTACTAGGGTGGGCAGCCGGCGTCGAACGGCTCTGTCTGCTGAGCGAAATGACACCGCACTCGCCCACCACAATTGCGGTTTGAACCCGCTTTCTCTCTCGATCGCGCATTTTGATATCCCCGAGTAGGTGGTGCCGATCGCGTCGGGTGATGCGTCGGCCGTCCGGGACCACGCGTTGCGCGTCACCAAGGTACAATATTGTCCTTCATCTGTGTACATCTTGTCATGATGCTCGTGGACAGACGCTGCGCGATGCCGGCCACATTGTGCATTTCTGCGACGGCTCGACCATGAAAAAGCAAATGAAGGTACGGACGCCAATGATCCAGTGTATGGATGACAATAATGTGTCGGACATTTTTAGATGGCCGACGGGTTCCAGTGCGCATATGCGGTGCTGCTTGGTGAAGACGAGCTGACGCAGGCCCAAGCGACCGTCAAGCACCTCCTCGAACGCCGTCAGCAAGTCGTTGCGCTGAGCGACTTGTCGACGTACTTTGCATCGACCGCAACGATCGTGGCCTAGAGCCGCAGCCATCTTGTCTCGCTCTTGGATTCAATACAGAATGTGCTGCTTTGCAGGTGCAGATTGCACTTGCAAGATACAGTGGCTTGAAATCACATCAAATCACTCGACCGTGACCAAGGGTACATAAATTCAATTGATTCAACAAGGGTTCAACAAGGGTACATCAAATTCAATTGAATTGATGTACCCTTGACCGTGACCGACGGAAGCACGGGTCTTCCGTCGACGCATTTGCTCTGTACTGCGAGTAGCATCGCGGGAAAACGCGGTGGGTAGCGACATACTTCCCATGTCTGCAAGCTCATCCGCTTCTTTTCTCTCTGTGGCAGTTGGCTCGGATGCGCGAACCATGGGTCAAAGGTTGTAGCCGCCTGGTTGACCCTGTCGACAAAAGCGAAAATGCGCCGCCGTCCCACCAGCGTCAATAAGAAATCGAGGCGATGAATTCAACGCTGTACTACACGCTGTACTACAGGCTTGCGTCAAACGGGAGGCGGCCGGCGCAGTTGGCGCTACTGCAGTGGCACACTGCGTGCCCGACGCCGCTGGCGACGCCATAGTCGATCGTGATCTCGTCGTCGCGTTCAATCTGTCGCAGCGCACGAATCTGGAGCCGCGGCAGTACGCAGCGCAGATCGGATCGGCGATACGTATCCAGAGTCGCATTCGGCCAACAGGCGTGGTTGATGAAGCGTGTGAAGTTGCCGACGCGACCGGCGTCGACGTTGGTGCGCAGCACGCAGTCGCTCGCTTCTTCGCGGACGCTGACAATGTACGTCGACGTGCGGTCCATGTCGCCTGTGCGCACGATGTCGCCAGCGTACTCGCCGAGGTACGCGCCGGGCGCGATCGGATGCGCGGCGTGGAGCGCCCAGCCTTTGGCCGCGTGCTTGGTCACGTAGACATCGATCGTCCGCGTGGCATCCATCGGCCAGTCGTGGCCAGCAGGCAGACGCGTCGAGGCGCGGTACGCAAAGCCAGACGGGTACCCGGCGGCGCCACGCACCGCCACAGGCCGCGGCTCGCCGCCGCTCGAGAGGTCGGCGCGACGCTGCGCGTGGAGGCAGCGGACGGCGTTCGCCCAGCCCTTGGCCACGAGCGCTGCATGAGAGAGCGACGGGACGTCGAGGAAGATGAAGATGCAGAGCAACGACGTCTCGGCGTCGGCTGGTCGCTGGCGCTTCATGGACCGTGGCCGGTCCGGTGATATATTCGGCATGTGCCGAATTCGGCGTGGCGTAATCAAGTTGCGGGTGTGGTTCGCGGGCCGCCGCCTTGGCGGGCGTCTCGCAATCAAATCGCTATGGGCTTCCATCATCGCTACCACAAGGTATTTGCAGTGGTCTTCAGTTGACGTCGAGAGTGCGCTGCCCACGCTACCATAGTTCGCTATCAAAGCACGGGTCTTCGCACGAACTTGCCATGCCGCGACCAACGGGTGGCCATGCGAACCGTCGCACACCAGCCCTCATGGCTCTCAATTGACGTTAATAGTCTGGTCTCCTAAGCTACAATACAACCCCGCAAGCTCTCGTTCCCTAGTACACCTGGAACTAATAGTACAGTACTTGGTCGTCTATCAACCCAAAGCCGCTTCTCGGTTCCAACATCAACTTCAACAACTTCAAATATGACGTGGTGAGCGGTCAACGCATCCGCTCGCATCCTATAGCCATAGCTTCCACACACTACTCGCCACACCAAACGGCACATTCGTACGCAGATCGTTTGACACTCGTCGGCGTGGCCACCTTGCGCACCCGTCACGGCCGCCGACGACAAGTTGTGCACGGCTGTTATTTTCGGCACGTGACCGTCATGTGTTGTGATTGGATAAAATGCGGTCTGTCGCGGCCAGCTTCGGAATTCGCATGAAGGCCAGAAGGAACGAACGAGCCGGCTACGGCGGCGTCTCGCCGACCATTGCTCAACAAGTGGACCCGCGCGCAGATGACCGACGCCGGTGGCCTCGTGCTGCGGTACTTCGACATCCCTGGCCGCGCCGAGATCACGCGGCTCCTCTTCACCATCGGCGACGTGCCTTTCCAAGACAAGCGTATTCCCAAGGCGCTGTACCCGCACCTCAAGCCCAAGCTGCGCCTGCCGTTTGGATCGCTCCCGACGCTTGAAGTCCAGGGGGAGACGTATGGCTGCAGCCTCGCGATCGCGCGCTACGCCGCCAAGCGCGTCGGCCTCTACCCGGACGACCCGCTCGAAGCCTTTCGCATCGACCACTTTGCAGGCCTCGTCCACGACACGATGGTCACGCTGCTCGTGGTGCTGTACATGGACGGCTGCGCCGTACTGCGCGCGAAGCGGCTGCGGCGGGCGCGACGGCGGATTCCGCAGCTGCTCGAGCACTTGGAGGACGAAGCACTCGGCGATGGCAGCTTCTTCTCGACCATCTCCTGGCTCGATGTCTACCTCTTCGACTTGATCCACAACGTCCTTCTGCGCTTTTGCAACGTCCTGCGCATCCCGTTTGACAAGTACTCGAAGCTCCAAGCCATCTACAAGGCGATTCTTTGCGAGCCCAAGATCGCTGCTTATTTAACGCGCACCGAGGGCCCCAGTATGATGGCCTTCCGCCCTCGCTGCACGACGACCCACTCGTAATGCCAACACTAATTATTCGTTGTCTTCTCGGAGGTTGCTGCCGCTTTTGGTCACCCTGCAAAAGCCCATACGAGGCATCCATACGAAGACGCATCTTGTTGGCCCATAATCCTGGTGGGCTTGCGTGCGTGGTGCAATGGAATGGTGACCACCTCGTCGACAAGCCGCAGATGCAGCCGCACGCCCGTGCGATCGTGGCGCAGAGTGAGTGGCACTTTGGCAGTACATTGTCGTTCGCCAAAGATCGCACATGGGGTCAAGCTCCAGCGTATGACTTGAGTCAGCTCTTTCGACGGCGTGATGCAATAAGATCTGATTTTTGCTCAAGAGCTGTATTGTGTCTTAGCAGGGTGGTGTAATCGCAGGGACGACGCAAGTGGTCGCTTACTGCTTGTCGGCGACTTCCTTGCCGGCCTTGCGGTCGCGTGCGTTGCGGGCCTTCTCCTTGCGGGCTTCCGACTGGTCCTTGAGGGCCTTCTCGCGGATGTGCTCCGACTTGAGCTTGTGGATGACCTCCATCAAGACGCGCTTGTTCTTGAACTGGTTACCCTTGGCACGCATGTACAGGTCGTGGTACATGTGGCGGTCGATCTTCTTGGCATCACGGTACTTGCGAAGGAGACGGCGGAGCACACGCATGCGGCGCATCCAGATGACCTTGAACGGCAAACGGGCGTTGGCCGTACCGCGGCGCTTACCGATACCGGTGTGGCGGCCCTTGCGCTTGGCCTCGTTGCGCTTGGTGAAGCGAGCGCGCGAGTGGATGACCTGCGGCTTGCGGATGACGAAGCCATCCTTGACGAGCTTGCGGATGTTCTGGCGCGAGTTGGCGAGCGCGATTTCCGTCGACTCGTTGGGGTCGAGCCAGACCTTGCGCTTGCCGCACTTGAGGACCGACGCGGCCAAACTACGTCGCACGCCTCATGAGCCTCCACCGCAGGATCGAGCATCTTCGTACCGCTTCTGAAGCTTCAGAGACACCATGTTATTAAACCCTGCAAAAGAAGTAATAATGGCACCCCTGAGAGCTTGGACGACGATAGCACCTCCTCCACCAACCAAAAGCGGCCGCCATCACGGCTGTTTTTATTCGCATTTCACGCACCCACATACACATATCAAGTATAGAATAAAATGTTTGCATTGTACGATCCACGGGACTTAACTGAAGGGCAAAGTATATACTTTAATCAAGAGAGACGCGAAACAGGCTTGGACCAATGGTTTACCTCGGCCAATCACATCGTATGGCGCGACCAATACTGTGAGAATACATATTTGAAAACCTCTCATATCGCATATTCGCATGCTGGTCACGGCAAGCTGCAACATGGGCAGGTGGGCCGTCGCGCCGGTCAAGCAGCTCGGTTGTGCTGTCATATGCATCGGCGCGTCAACACGTTTAGCGCATGGCCATGCATGGGCGCAAGTGGCATGCCTCGATGCTTGGGCGAAAGCTGCAATCGTGCAATGCAGCACGGGGGCATGCCTGGGTACCTTGCTCTGCACGCAGTCTGTAAGGCGGCTGCCGGTGCGATGGCCACCACCTCGGAGCGGCGATAATGAGGCGCGTCGCTGGCTCATTGAGCAGTGCCGATCCGAGTGAAGCTTCTTGAAGTTGGGGCCATGAAAAGCAAAGCTTTTGGGCAAGTGCGCTCGCCAAGGTTGCAGCCCACCTGCGTGGCTACGTCGCACGCTGCAGGTGCGTGGAGAGACGAGAAGGGGCTATCAGTACCAGTATACAGATTGCTTACGGGAACGGTGCATCCCACTCGATGACGAAAGACCTCACCCTTGCAGAGCTTGCGCATGTGCCCCACGAAGGCGCAGAACACACTCGCCGCGGGCAGATGAAGAAAACGGCCCTTACTCTCCAGCAAGTGAATTCCCGTGGACAGCCCTGATATGTAACAGCGGAATAACGGTTCTGCAACGTGGCTCAACGTCGTGTCCTTGAAAAAGAACGCCGATTCTGCCGTCCGGTCTATGTGTGTACGTGGCCGTCGACGCCCAGAGACGTGGTCGACAGTCGATGGGAAAGAGTAGCTACGCGGTGTAATCGGGGCCGTGCTTGGCACAACAGCCACCAAGTCTAGCCATCCACATTCTTGGTTTTTCTGCCCCCGATTAGGGCGCCACCGGACGCCTACTAGATTACTAGTAACCAGGGTCTTCATATGGATGCAGTCTCGCCGCGGTGGGTTCATGGTACCACCACTGCACTTGGAAGCAATCTTTATCGTGGGATGCGCTGCGATACATTCCTCTTCTCGATGGCCTGTCGGACAAGACATGCACCTTGCCAGGTCTTCGTTCTCGCTTCGCCTTGCGGCCCTCGCGTTCGGTGGACTCGGTCGTTTGGCAAAGTGCACTGACAACACTTAGGTCTGGGAGGGTTAACTCTTATGGTACACATGCTCGCAACAATGATGATGTACACTATCGACTTGATACAGAGCTCTTGTGCCGCGGCGTCGGGATGCGGTTGTCGGCAAAGAGGCGAGCAAACTCGTCGTGGGCCTTGGATGTCGGAGGCTCCAGAATGCTTTGGACCACGCGGTTTCGGCGTTCGTCCAAGTGCATGCGCTGCTGCTTGAGGGTCGCAATGACAAGCCCGAGGTCGTCGATCGAGGTCGGCAGCGCAAGCGACGTGTACGTCATGGCGTCAATTGTAAACTGACCCACTCCATAATATCTCGCGTTTTCTTTCAAAAGGATGACGCCCGCCTCTCTTCTTGGTTCAACGACCTATTCCATTGATCGTGACCATGCGGCTATCTGGTCCAGGGGTACTTCAAGCCGCGCGGCTGCACGCCGTGGAGGGCACGTCACGACCAGGTGCTCAGTCTTGGATTTGGTTGTTGAGAGCAGCGCAAGGACGACGACGACGACAATAGGTCCGCACGGCGGACGGTATATTAAATAGATGAGCGCACTGCCTCTGTCTACGAATTGGAGGCGCCGCCGCCACTGCCCTCGAAGAGCTCGTTGTACTCGTCGCTGGGCCGCCGGGTGCGGTCGTCGTTGGCGTGGTCGGCCTCGAGGCTCCGCGAGAGCTGGAGGCGCTTGTCGTGGATCGCAGCGTGCTGCCGCTTCAGGTTCTCAAAGGCTTGGCAAATGTCGGACGACGGGACGTCTGCCGTGAGGTCTTTCGGAAGTGTGAGGACCGGCGCCGACGCCATTTCCGGGTCGTTTTTCTAGTCTCGGGGCGAAAATTGAA